TGACTGATGAGAGCAGGACCGCTGCCCTCCCCCTTAACGCTGGGCATTGTCCTTCCGCTCCCCGCCTCGTATCTGGCAGCGCGGTCCTGCTCTCTCTGAGCCTCTGAACAGTTCGGTCTCAGCTCTGTTGGTTCTGCATGTTTTGCTTAACCAGACTGTCCCCCCCCCCCCCCCCCGTTCCCTTGCAGATTCGATGGGAGAAGAACATCACACTGGGGGAGCCTCCAGGATTTCTTCACTCATGGTGGTGGTATGTATCACATGTTAAGGGGGTGGGGGTCTTTCTGTACTGTTAGAGCAATGGAGATCTTGCAGTGTGTGTGTGTGTGTGTGTGTGTGTGTGTGTGTGTGTGTGTGTGTTACGTATGTGATCTATGTATTACATTGTGGGGACCAAATGTGATTTAAAAACCTGTTATTTTGACGTTGTGGGGACCATTTTTTTTGGTCCCCACAAGGGGATACTCAATCTTATAAAAAGTCTGTGACTGCAATCAAAAAACTAAAATAGCCAAAAGTCTTGTATTTTGTTTGGTTACTTATGGTTAAGGTTAGGGCTGGGTAGGGGTTAAGGTCATCATCATTTAGGATTACAGATTTTCCCCCATAGAAATGAAAGGAGAGTCCCCACAAAGATATGACTGCTAGTGTGTGTGTGTGTGTGTGTGTGTGTGTGTGTGTGTGTGAGAGAGAGAGAGAGAGAGAACATTTTAAGCAGAGCTCCTGTGATTCGCATAAAAGGAATCCTCCATTACCACTGTACAGACAGCAGGTCTGTTGGATTGTTTTGGTTTAGTTTCGGTTAGGAAATTAGCTGAAGCTGGTAGATACAGGTGGAGGGTCTGCAGTTGATCCAGTGTCCCTTGTTAAGGCTGGTTAAGTCTCTCACTGGCGTCAAACCAGCAGCCAGTCATTCTTGTCCTTTAGTCGCCTCGTTGGGTTTTGTCTTCATTCTCTGGTCCATGCCAAACCCCCCCCCCCCCCCCAAACGGCGGTGGGGGGGGGTTT